ATAGTTTCGTTTCGTTACTCAAAAAAGCCGCTACTACCCACCGCTACACACTCCATAATGGAGAAGATAACCATTTTTTGTTTTATATGCCAAAAAAATCTACAAGAAATTAAGAGAATAACCGTGTTTTTAATTTTTTTCTATCTTCAAAACTGACCGAGATATAAAGGCGCAAAGTTAACACTTTCGGTATAAGCCGCGAGCCGAGCGCGACATCGTTGATGACGTCACGATTTCCATCTTCGTGCGAGAGACCCGACGCGCTCTTAGAAAATCAAAACATTTATTCGAATGTGCCCGTCCCGCGGGGATTTACTTGCTATATATTTTTAACAAGGAACATTATAGAACATGACACTATCTATTAAATATTGTGCTGTATCTCAGTGTAAAAATACGGCCACAAAAACACCTGAAGAGTTGTTTTTTAATGTGCCTAGAAACCCTACCCTTAGAAATAAATAGACAAATGCTATGAGAAGAGCACATCCTTTAGGACCAAACACGGTAGCATATTGTTGTGAGGATCATTTCGATGTAAGTATTCAAATAATAATAACCTTCACATGATATCTCTTGGTTATTGGTAGTAAATGTTTTCTATTAGGCATGTTGGTACCTACTCGAGTCGCAGTGTTTAAGTAACTAACGATTCATTGAACCTTTCCACGCTTAATGATCATTATAATTTCAAGAAGAAACAATACCTAATACCTACATATTTAACTAAAACTACTTCAGTCAATGACCTGTCGTGAGTTCGTTAGTTAAGATTCCTACCTATATTTGCAGCAAATTTTAAAATGTTTATAATGCATATAAAGGTTAAAATATGGAATACGTTAACAAATGTTTTTATATTTTTACAATATTTCAAGCAAAAACTAAACACATCGCGGAGCTGTTCAACCTGCATACTTTGCGGGCCGCAAATAATGGAAGAAGGTTGAATATGAAGTGGAGCACTTAAATTTTTTTTTCGCGTTGTCCTATTTTTATGTATTACATAGTTGCTACATATTTCAAATATTGATGGAATACAAATTACGAGGTTCCTTATTTTTTTTATACATTTTAAATAAGTTTGTATTTTGTTCTAGGTCGAAAACGATATGGAAAACTACGTGAAGTACAAAACTAGTTGGTGCTCCTCTCAAATTTAAAAAAGATGTTTTTCCTCACAAGTTTGCTTGTCAAAATCGGTATACAGAAAAACCACAAACATTTTTACTATCAAAACTAAATGCCAAATCTAGGTCAGAAACAGTTGCACATGCGATTGCCACTACTTAACAAGAAATTGAGCATAGATATGTTGTCGATCCTGTTACTACTCTAGATGATAATATTGACATTGATCCCTTGCCTGAAGAATATATAACTACGCTTTTAATCATAATAATAATGCGACCCTTTTTCTATTAATATTGAAAACATCTGATTTTTAGATAAAATCATATTTTTATACACTGAAGGTATATTTGTAGTAAATTTCTTTATATTATACAACAGGAATTTTTTTTAACCATAAAAACCACAAAAAGGTCAGGGTACACTTATGAAGAATAAGAAAACAAAACTACTTAGAGGCAGATAGTAAGTACGTAGGTAAGGAATGTTTACGTATTTTTGTTATACTTATTCTTATCATTAGCAAATGAAACCCAGAAGTATTAATGTAATAATGGGTACCTAGGTTATAAAATATTATCTTATTCTTATGCGTATTTAAGTCGCGACAAAATCTTTGTTTCTTAAAAAATATTCCGCCACCATCATGTCACGGACTATTGAAAGGTTTTCAGATTGACCTTTTGAAACCCTTCTTTCATCATTAAATACTTAAAAACACCAGAGCGCACGAGGGCAAACAACTTACCCGCGAAATATTACTACAAACATTGATTTATATATTAAACTCAATGACTACAAACGAATGATCGGCGCGCTGGAATGGTACGGCGGCGCGGCCGCATGGAATCGATGACGTCACGCGCTACTCGCGGGCACGGGCGAGATTTTAAAAATGTACGTAAACTTTCCACGCTTATAACTTCGGTAATAGTGCACCGATCGATGTGAAATAAAAACTAGAATTATGTGTTTGGTCTAGACATTTTACCTACGTACTTAAAAGTTTAATATTGTAACCTTGTTATTTTCTCAATTACAAGTTACAAGTATTTTTATTGACTGAAGGGTTGGCAGTAATTGTTAGGTTGCCGTATTGAAAAAAATACATTTACCATATACACTAGGCCTGGGTCGTATCGCGTTTTCTGAGAATCGTATCTATATCGAATTTTGAGTTTCAATATCTGATGTCAAAACTATATATTTCTATATCTATATATTCAGCGTACGCGCTATTTTCTACTCCGATACGCTGTTGAAATCGTATTTAAGTATGTAATTCAAGACCATCCACAATCGACTTCTTGCTTAGCCGTATTTATGCCATCTAGCGTCATCTTTGCGTACCACCTTGAGAGCTAATCAATTTTAGTTCGATAAAATGACTTTAGAGTGGAGTAGATGGCGGTTTACAAATCAGTTTTCCAAATAAAGTATTTTTTTAAAACATCAATACAACCCATGTATTCTTTTGATTTATTTCATTAAAATTTAGGTTTCACGTGTCTAACAATAAGGATTGTAACAATTATTTGCTATACTTAAAGTTAAACTTATAATATGCAATATTTGATACTGAATTTGTGGTTGAAAATTATCATAAAAATAAATCGTTTGCCGTTAAAACTTTTGAAGTGTTGAAAACTTTTTTGACTTAATTCATTAGTGGTTGATGTTAAACTTTATGTACTTTGTTGTTACGATATTGGCTTAGGTATTGTTTTATAGTAATTTTAACGAAGCGCGTCAGTTTAATATTATTTATTTTACATTTTTATCAAAATATTTTAAGAGATATATTTAAAAAGTTGGAAACAATTAGGGAAGTTAATTAAGATTTAGTGAAATTGTGTTTTTGTTATTTAGTGTAATTTACAAATATAAGATTTTAATTTTCCGACATGTCTAATCTAATACCCATATACTCGCGCACTGTCGCACACGGCAAATCTAGCCACCGACCGATGCGGTGCAATATAGGTATTGCGGCGGTATATCAGATTTTGTATAATATATAGTTATGGAATGAATCTAGCGACCGACCGATGCGAAGCATATAAGCATCGCTGCGGTATATCAGATTTTGTATAATATATAGTTATGGAACGAATCTAGCGACCGATCGATGCGAAGCGATATAGGCATCGCTGCGGTATATCACATTTTGTATAATATATAGTTATGGAACGAATCTAGCGACCGACCGATGCGAAGCAATACGCGGTATGCGGCGGTATATCAGATTTTGTATAATATATAGTTATGGAACGATTCTGGCGACCGACCGATTCGAAGTAATGGTGGTTAATATAGCGCATAGCGCCATATTATAGCGCGCTGTCTCTTCATAACGCGTGCTATGTAAGTAGTCGCCATGGCGCTATGACGCTTTGGCGCTATTCATATCAAGCGGCAATTAGTTCTAACAACAGCGCTGTTTGGAGTAGACGTGTGACGCAAATTTAATCTAGCAGCATGCTATTCATCGCGCGCGAACTAATTTAGTGTTAGACGTTATTTAGTTAGTGTATACTGTATATTTATAAGTGATCGAAGGACACAGTTGTCTGCTACAAAAGAAGCCTAACTAATGTTTTAAATGTAAATAAAATATGGATACAAAAGTGTATTAATAGTGTTTGTAAATAGTTGATTTTTGTATATACAATCAATAAACTTTTAAATACACCTTTGATTTATAATTTATATTAAGGTTAAAATAACGTTTACATCAATTATAATAATAAATGATTAATTTTATTTTATTTTAAAAAGTATAGTCCTTAAAAATATTTTTAGGGTTATTAAAAGTCGTAAGCCTGAAAAGTATGAAAGAGCATTCTTTAATTTTTCTTTACCACTTTATTTTAATTTAATCTAAAATGCGACTTATTACGAAACAATGTTCTTACATAGCACGCGGTCTATCCAATGAACGACATGTAACGTAGCGTGCTCCGAGATATAGCGTGCTGCTAAACTTAACGCGCCTGCCGGCCTACTACACACTTTTTTATAAATAGCGCGCTATAACATAGCGTATTTAATAGCGCGCTAGAAATTTCTAGTTTATAGTCTGTAGCGTGTTATTGATTTATAGTCGTTTTGAACAACTTTATTTCGAAGCGATATAGGCATCGCGGTGGTACGCAAATATCAGATTTTGTAATACATAGTTTTGGAACGACCAGTAAGCGGTTTTTAGATATTGTACCAATATATAGATTTCGTATCAGTAATCAGTATACGGCGTAGACAGAGAAACCTATAGACTAATGATCGGCGTGGCCTCGAGTGAGAAAGGACGATAACGAATTTTTAGGTTATACAATAATCTTTATGACTTTTAAACACATTTAGATAAAAATTTTAATTGTTCTAAGAACTGAACTGAACAAGATTCACCAATCTTAAGCTCACAAAACACTTTTTTCTCACTTAAACCAACTTGTAAACTCCTTAAATCACTACGCTGTTAAAGTTGTTTAGCAAACTGTAGAGTTTGCTAAACAAAAAAACCAGCACGGAGAAAGGGACAAACAATCACACCGCTCTATCTCATTTCTATGCAAGACGTATGCATAAATTTATCTTTTTCGTGTGCGAATGCGAAAAAAGGCGTCAATTTGTCTATAGGTTTCTCTGTCTACGGTATACGGTTTGCATCGCCAACCTCTAATATACAGTGTATGTCACAGTACACAGCACAGAACACTATTACTCCTATCGGAGGTACACAGTCTCTAGTATATAGTCAGTAATCTATGGTATGACATTTACCCTGTCAACAACCAACAACCAAAAGCTCAAAAAGGGCATTTTAAAAGAATAAAAGTTTAATTTGCTAATTTGGTATAATTTAGAAAATGGGTGACGGTAAATATATTCATGTCGTGGTACTTGGTTACTGTAGTTTCTCAAAATGTTAGATTAATTAAATTTTAGACATATTTTAAAACATGAAATGAAGATTAATAGCACGGACAGACAAGATACTGATATTCAATATTTTATGTATTTCAGAAGATGTAATTCGAAGACGATTGCTAATTGATGGCGACGGCACAGGAGATGATAGGCGTTTAAATGTTTTGTTAAAAACATTAATCAAATGGTGTAATAGCACAGATGAAAAGCCGGAGGAGAGGTTAAAATTACTTAATTTTTCTGTTTAGAGCTATAGCTGTTTACTATATTATTCTATTCTTTAAATTCTTATCGTAATGTTATATTGTTTTTGTGATAAATTTATTCCTTTTTCATCCAGCACAATAGTCATTGATTAAAACGGAAGATATTCTATATGTTTGTTACGAAAACTATTTATAAGACTGTTATTAAATTAGATATATATTTATAGAAATATTATGATGTCAATATCTCTTGATAGTGATAGCTATCACTCAAATATCCATACTACACTATATATATTTGATTATAGAAATTTCATATTTACTATAGATAAAAGGCAATATTGTTGTTTATATAGTCACTTTACCTACCAACCATAATTATTATTGCTTTAGCTAAAGGAATTACATTAATTACATTACTTTAGCTTAGTATAGTTTACGACGAGTTGTTTTCCACAACTTTTCCTATGTATACTTTGCATGTGGGCAGGAATATTGTAATTATTCGAGCTATGAAATCTCCATGAAGAAATTCAACAGTCCTTTGATGATGTTCAGCCTCATATGTCGCGACCTCTGGACATGCCAGCAACACATAGACATTGGTTTCTTCCTCCACCATACATACTCTGCATAGGGGACTATCTGTAACACCTATAATAAATAAATTTTTGTTAAAAGGAACCATGTTCTGTAATAGCACTTGTTGCTATCCTGATCTGTAGCTTGTTCAATCTCATTAAACTTAGGTTATGCGACTTTATTTCTGACAGGACTTGCCTTTTGTCAGAGCTGAGCATATTGATTAGTAAAGTTTTTACCTACCAATGTTTGAATGTTACTAAAAGAAATTGGTGTGTTCAGTTCCAGCCCTAAAATGGTCATGATCCTCTCCTGGCCAGTTTGTCTGCTGCTACATTGTTGCCACTGGATCCACTGTGTCACTTGATTCATTACAGAGTCACATTGCTGTGGTTTTGATGACATTCATATATTAGTTTCCAGTTCACACACACATCCGAGGGCGGCACTGAAAATTTCGGGAATCGAGGAAGTGACACAATATTACTATTTAAAAATGTATTTATTGCTTTTCGAAGTATTCTCTGTGAAATTTGACACATTTTTCCATACGATGGAACCAATCATTGAAGTAACCATTCCATTCGGAAGTTGGGGTCTCCAAAATGGCTGTTTTGTAGGTGTCCACAGCTTCTTCAGGTGATGTAAATCTCTGTCCACGCAATTTATTTTAGGGAAAGTATAGAAATCATTAGGGCTTAGGTCGGGGCTGTACGGCGGATGGTCTACTAATTCTATGTTTTCTTGCTCTAAAAACTCTTTTGTTCTGTGTGCGGTGTGAGAACTCGCATTGTCATGATGGAGGATGATACGGCGGTTGCAGTTCTCTTTACGGAGTTCAGAAACGACCTGTGGCAAACAAATGCTAGCATACCATTCTGCATTAACCGTTCTTTGTCCCTCAAGAGGAATAGTTGTAACATGGCCGGTTTTGGAGACAAACGTGGCCACCATTTTTTTTGCAACACTCCGTGAACGAACAATTTTTGTTGGCATTAACTCATTTTCGAACACCCAAACTCGAGACTGGTTTTTTGTTTCGGGTTCGTACGCGTATATCCAGGATTCGTCACCTGATACGATGTTGTATACAGCATTTGAGGATCCTGCGTGGAATCTTTCGAGAGTTCTGAGGCACCAAGTAACGCGAGTCGCTTTTTGCTATTCACAGAGCGAATGCGGTATCCATCGGGAAAACAACTATTTTACATCTAATTTTTCATGGAAGATTATTTGTATTTGACTCATGCCAATGTCTAAAGTTGCCTGAATTTCGCGGTATGTCACATGTCGATCTTCCTCAATCAGCTTACGCACAGCATTAACGTTTTCTTGGGTGACTGCAATTTTTGGACGACCTTGACGGGGAATCATCACTGAGCTTGACACGTCCACGTTGAAATTCAGCAAACCAGCGATAAATTGTGGTTTTAGATGGGGCTTCGTCACCAAATGCAGAAATCATCCGGTCAACACACTGTTTTTGTGTTAAACCACTTCGAGAGTCATAATAAATCATCGCTCTTGAATTTTCTCGAGTCAATTCCATTTTCTCAACAACTAAACAAGTTTGACAAAACCTTGTGACAAGACCGAGAATCTTTTTTAAATAAATAAATGGTATTCGATTTTTAAAACCAAGGAGTTTTCAATTAAAAAGATTTTGATATAATTGATATAATCAGGCGTTACTTTGCGGAAACCCATTATAATAAAAAATAAAAATATAAATTTCTTTGCAACCTTCCGCTAAATAAATACACTGCTAAGACTTAGCGGTCAGCCGCCGTAGAGTCTACATTACCTGAAGATGCCTCGTGTAGAGGCGAAACACATGTCGTATTATCGTCGATGGTGTGTCTTACCTGGAATAGTGGTGTTGGGAGTAGTGGTGCTGAGACCAGTGGTGACGGAGTTAGTGCATGCAATTGAGGGAGGGCGGGAGGTACTCTTCAATCCAGGTAAGACACATCATTGTATTTATTTAGCGGAAGGTTGCAAAGAAATTTATATTTTTATTTTTTAGATTTTAATATGACAGGAACAGTGGAAATATTCTATTCCCGATACTTTTAGTGCAGCCCTCGTAGCAACTCAGAGCTTGTAGTACCGCCATACTGTCGGTTATTATTCTGATAGAGTAGTCTTTTACTTACCTAGCATCTTTTGCTATGGCCATTTGGATGATAACCATACATTCTGCCTGAAAGACTATGTTGTGGGTAAACAGCAGTGTACATATGTGAATATTGAGGTCTTCTTATACGTGGTAGAGCCATGCTGCAGTTATATTAGTAGTATAGTTGTAGCTCGAATGGGTCGGCTCGACCGTGGAAGGACCACGCTCTCACAGAATACCAGCGTGAAATAGTAGCTTTTGCGCGTATTTATGGTGATTAAGACCTTTTTATGAAGTTTGGGGGCAAGGTGTTGGGTTTTTTAAAACCATCCATGAAAACTAAGCTCTTGTAGGCTTAATCCCTCTGGCTGGTTGGTTTCATTTAATTGTATCTTAAATTTCTTATTGAACACAAATTGTTTAGGGATTTTATTGTACTACACTTCATTACTTCAAAATACTTTACAAAGTAGATGATACATTTTTTTTTAAAACATATCTCGGAATGGATGAGCTTGTATTTAGGCAAATTGAAAAGTCACTTGGAGCTTTCTATGTCTACGAATTTTAGTTTTTCACAATTAAAAGTTAGGAGCCGTGGTAGCTCAGATGGTTAACGCTCGCTGTAAATATAACAGAACGCGAGTAACCCAGGTTCGATCCCCACCAGCACCAATGAAATTGTTGATTGCAATTTTAAGTGCTGATTTATCACGTGCTCGGCGGTGAAGGAAAACATCGTGAGGAAACCTGCATGTCTGAGGAATAAGAAAAAAAAAATATTTCGAAGACATGTGAAGTTCGCCAACACGCATTGGGGCAGCGCGGCGGACACTTCCTTGCCCTAAAACCCTCTCAGAAATGAGGGGAGGCCTGTGCCCAGCAGTGGGACGTATATAAGCTGTAACTTTACTTATTTTACAATTAAAAGTTTATATTTATGAAGTAAAATAGATTGGGTATAAGTCTCAGTTACTCTGTAAGCTGGATAGAGAACTATAGTGTTGTTACTGTTGTTTTTTATTCTGTATGGGTATGTTATGTAATTATGATATATTTTCTCGTCAGGTGTACCTCAAAACTTGAAAATGAGATTGTAAAATCAGTGGTTTTTGTCAATGATGACTTATGGATCTGAGATGTCTTCCTTCACTGCTGGCCGTATGAGGACGCTCAAGGTCGCTCAGCAAGCTATGGAGAGGGCTATGTTCGAGGTTTCTCTGAATGATAAACTTAGAAATGAGGATATACGAAGTAGAACCAGAATGATCGACATAGCCCAACGAATTAGTATGCTGAAGTGGAAATAATCAGCCATATAGCTCAAAGAACCGACAACCAATGGAAAAAAGGTTCTTAAAGGTTCTTAGTGCTAAATTTTTATTTCCTATTTTCCTGAATGAAAATAAAAGTTTTCAAAGCATGTTTTTCCTTCAGGTATTATTTAATGTAGGTAGTTGTATAAAAAATTTGTACTAACTAAAGAAGAAACATAATAATTTTTGAACTTTATTTTATATGCCACTGTTTAAAAAAAGTAGCATCTATAGTTATGGAGGGTACATCTACCTTCCACACCTACAATATAGACCGTTGGTATGGTTACGCAGTACTATTATTTATTCTGTGGTACAGTTTCGAAAATCTATTAACATAGTTTAAACATTATTTCTGAAATAAGTATACCTATATTTTTAAGAATTTTATGGTATCCCCAGTCATATAACAAATTGTTTTATACTCTGGTCTGTTATCGATTAGCATTTAAAAGAATGTTGGAATTTGTATTACATGTTAGCTTGGTCTAGTAGTATTATATTTGTTCAATAATATATCTCGTTGTTGTGGATTAATACCCATATAGGATTAAGTACAAATAATTAACGATAGTCGACTAACTCAAGCAATGATTTTTATTTAAAAAATACGAAATGATAATGTTAAATTTGTATTTCTTTCAGTAAATCAACACATGACAGAATGTTGGCACAGCTAGCTCAGTGCGAATTTGCGGTGACTAAGTCCCAGTTAGGTGCAGAAATGATGACGGCAGAGTTAAAAAGTTACGAATCATTATCAAAAATTCTAGAAACAGGAATAGAAGCTGCTAAAAATAATATAGAGAAAAGTAAATCTGATTTGGCACAAGCAAAAACTGTCCGTAAAAACCGAATAGAGTATGATGTTCTTGCAAAAGTAATAAGTGAACAACCTGATAGAAAAGAAACTCTTGAGCAACTTAGTACTTTGAAAACGGATTTAAGTAGCTTAGAAGCTACAAAACAGCAACTGGAGAGTAGATTAGCATTAAGGAAGAAGCAATTTCATGTTTTAGTGACTTCAATTCACCAATTGCAAGCCCTTTTAGACGAACCAGATGAAACAGAGTCCATTTGTGGTGATGATGTGGAAATGAAAGATATTCCGAATGAATCATCATAGTTTATATGGCCAAATAAAAATATAATAATGGCAAGGAAAAAGCAAGTTGTGAAAAGCATCTTTGAAGCTTATATAATTTTAATAAGTGTAGGTATTTGAATAAGACCATTCGTATTAAATAATTCTTTTACAAAAACATGTTAGTTTTTTATTTTTATATTATTTTATCGGCATTATTAAAAAAAGAACAATTGCAAGTTAGCTCAAAAATGATTTACAGTTTATAATTTAGTATAGGTACTTATTAAATATAAAAAATAGAGCCATGGTAGCTCAGATGGTTTACGCTCCCTGTAAATATAACAGAACCCGGGTTCGATCCCTGCCGGCACCAATGAAATTGTCAATTGCAATTTAAAGTGCTGATTTACCACGCGCTCGGTGGTGAAGGAAAACATAAACATCGCGTGGAAACCTGCATGTCTGAGGAATAAAAAAATATTTCGAAGACATGTGAAGTTCGCCAACACCACTGACCTCTATATATACAAGTACGCTGGACTGGCTATACCATACAAAATGACTGTGCCAATTTGAAGCGCCGCTAAAGGATGTCTTGAAAAATAAAATTGACATAATATGCCAAAGTCTGCTGTCTTATTTATATTGTCATATTTAAAAAGTCTGTATTTTGAACTTATATACTAAAAAAATGAAAGTATTTTATATTGTTTGATTGTGTATAATATTAGTTACATATTAATAATTATTTTTAATAATAATGAGAGTGAGCGTAATCTGTAAAGCTCGTTACCAAAAGGGAAGCCATATAACATTACACAAGTAAGTGAATTTGCAGCTAATATTTAACAAATTAAAACTATTTGATAATGTAAGTACTTAAAATTTTGTTACTAATCTTAATATCATATATACCAACATGTTTGGCTGTATATTACTGAGTTTTGATAAACAATAACATTCAATAGGGTTGTCGAGTTCCTTGTCTATAATACTTATCGATGTTCTTTCCTACCCATATCTGTTAACAAACAAAGTCGCCAACAACAGATGATTATCAAATGTTTATTAATTAACTGGTTTCCAACAGAACCTAGACTAAAATTATGGCTTATAAGCATAAATATTGTGAATTGGCGTCCGAAACAAAATGATCATATTTGTTCCAAACATTTCACAGACGACTGTTTTATTAGATATGAGAACTGCACCACTTTGAAAAAGTGCAGTATACCGAATATATTTTCTGGTAGTATCAGTACCAGTAAGTATAAAAGTATTAGATTATTATTTGGAATGTTTTTTTATTTCTTCTTTCCTCATTTTCCACCAAAATCAAGGGCCATAGCCAAGTGTCGAAAGGTCGCCTGTTGATGTCGAGCCACGTTGGATGTGTGTTAGTGGGCTGCGGCTAGAGGAGATTCCTCTCCCTGTACCGCTGTAGTTGAGGTGGAGTAGTAAGGGAAGAGGAGTGTTGGTATGGCGATTGGCGATGCGCCATTCGACTATCTTTCGCGACTTTAGTGAGGCTGCACCACTTGATGTTTCCAAGTACTCGTTTTTCAAAAAGTGGCCATCTGTAAGGAGTAAATAACAGCTCAAAAACTCTCCACAACAGCGCTGGATTAGCTACTGGGATAAAATGAACTTAGCAATTGTCGACGGTTTAGGTGTGGTGCTAAACTGCTCAGTAGCTCTAAAATCTAAAATAATATTATTTAGTAAATATAACCTCGAAAAATTCGTCTATCCCACTAATATTTTTCGGTGCGTTCTTTAAAATTTACCTCGTAGTTATAGTGGCGTTACCCTTATTTAATGGTTTTTATGGACACTTTAATACACAGTCTATACTTCTTACTTCTACACTCCATAGATACGGTATTAACCTCAATGGCACGTACGTCACTCACCTTCGATTTGTCGACAATATAGTCCTTATGGCAGAATCGCTAAAGGACCTACACACTATGTTCAATAACCTCAATAATGTCTCTCAACGGATAGGTCTTAAGATGAACATGGACAAAACAAAATTCATGTGTAATGTCCATGTCACACCTATGTCGGTGGTTTTTGGGAGCACTTAGCTGAAGTTGTTGACGAGTATTTTTACATGGGACAAATAGTCCGACAGGTAGGTAAGTTCTACTTCGACCGACAGGTCAATCGACGGATTCAGCTATTAGAATTACAACACATCTTCTCGTCAGGAATACCTCAAAACTAGATTGTACAACCACTCCGTGTTGCCAGTGATGACCTATGGATCTGAGACGAGGTCTTTCACTGCTGGCCGTTGCGGAAGCTCGAAGTCGCTTAGCGAGCTATGAAGAGGGCTATGCTCAGGGGTTCAAACCTAGGAATGAGGATATCTGCAGCAGAACCAGAGTGACCGACATCGACCAATGGATTAGTACGCTGAAGTGGAAATTGACCGGCCATATAGCTCGAAGAACCGAATACCGAAGGGGAGAAAAGGTTCTCGAGTGGCAGCCCCGTACCGGCAGGTAAGGTAAGGCAGGTAAAACCTGGTAAGACATGCAGGAAGTTGATGGATTCAGGTAGCTCAGGACCGTGCTTTAAAATAAAATAAAAATAAAATTGATTTATTTCAGACTGTTGTCCATAATATTGTTAGTAGCATACAAAGACATCTTAAAAACTAGGTTAGTAATATTTTGGAAAATATTTATTTTAATTTAAATATCTGCCTGCACTGCGCGACACCCCTGCAACATGTGTGTGAGCGTACACCCAGTGCCGCAGTATCGGACAGTCAGGCTTTTCACTGATTACTCTGAGAATGGTGTTGGCGCTCCCCCGCACCGTGCGCAGCAGGGATGCGATTCGCTTGCGCACTACGGTGTAAAACCCATCAGTGTGCGCCAATGCAAACATCCCTGATGCACTACAGTAACTTGGAAGCCCCCACAACATTCTCAGACCATAATTATATTGTACTCGGAGAGCGCCGACAGCCCCCCGCGTGTAGTTGACCCATAGATTGCACGTATAAAGCGTTTGGCAGTATGCCTTAAACAGTGTTATTTTTACATCTGGACTGCTACGTGCAAATCTGCGAGCCAACATGTTGCAGCGGACTGCCATCACCCTCCTTTCCCTTTCAATATCCTTGTCATCCTTCAAGTCTTCGGTAACCACGTGACCGAGATACTTGAAGGATGGCACCTTACAAGTTCACTACCGTTGAGTTTGACAGGCGGTACATACATCACCTTACGAGTCCTGGCTTTAAAAACCATCAACTCGCTTTTCCTAGCATTATACAATAGGCCGTGGGATTCAGCATACTCCTCGCATATTGAGATCAGCCTTCTTAGAGCAGCAACTGACGGGCTCAGCAACACCATGTCGTCCGCGTAACTGATGCTGTTTACACAGAGACCATCAATGAAACAGCCGACACTGGTGTTGCCAAGCCTAACAATCAGCTCGTCTATATACAAATTAAAAAGCGTCGGGGAGGTCAAACCACCCTGCCTCACCCCACACTCCAATCCGTACGCATCAGAAAGCTGATCCAACCATTTGACTTGGTTAGTCTGGTGGCCATACCAATATTTAAGAATATTTATAATCTCACCAGGAACTCCTGAATTTTGTAGTTTTTTCCACAGGATGTCATACCTAACCAAGTCAAACGCCCTGGACAAGTCAAGAAAAGCCGCGTAAACCGGAGTCTTCCTATCCATATAATACCTGACAGTATGCTTGAGAGCCAGAATGGCGCACTCAGTTGACAGTTTTGGCCTGAAACCGAATTGAGCGTCGTGCAGAACCAGGTGACGTTTGAGATGTCTCTCAACCAGACCGTCAAGTAATTTTGCTGTGATGGTAGCTAATGAAATCGGCCGATAGTTGGTCTTATCGGATATATCTCCAGTTTTATTCTTAACAATAGGAACAACGACCGATCTCATCAACTCTGCAGGCAGGTATGAGTGTCTGATACAGAAAGTAAATAGCATACCTAGTAACCTCGGGAGATGCGGCCCAGCATACATGAAGTGCTCAATGCTGAGGCCGTCATGACCCGGTGACTTGCCTCTTTTCATACCTTTAATTAGCTGTTCAACCTCTTTAGCTGTCACACGTTTTGGCACACCAGATACGATTACCTCAACATCAGCACCCCGTGCATTTAGATGCGACTGCACCCTAAAATGAGAACTGAACAAGTTAGCTATATCTCTGGGGTCTTGAATACCCTCAACGCTAATCGGTACGCTAGGCTTCGGACTTAATTTCCTGGTGTGTTTCCAGAAGCTTCGAAAATCTTTATCTTTGTGATAGGTAGCTAAAATATTAATTTTAATTAATTCTTGATTTTTTTGACAGAATTTTAATTTTTCCTTAAAATTTTTCCTAGACCTATACATATCCTCATAAATACGACCTTGTGAGGGTCGTCCGTACCATACCCAAGTCAGAAATGCTTGCCTAGCGTCCTGGTGAGCGTCACGTACATATTTATTCCACCCGGCAATGGGTCGACCACCCCTCTTATTGCCTCCCCCCTGACTGTAATTAAAACTAATCTCCGCGGCCTCTTGGAGTGATAAGATTATATTATTGTAAAATTTGTCAATTACCTTAATGTGCTCTAGGCTCAAATCATTACAAGTTGAATCACAACACTTCTCAAGCTCATGGGGAAAGTCAATTAATTTTAATTTTTCGTTACAAACTCTAGTAAAGATTTTTGTTTGTTGCTCATCACGTTCCCCCCAGATTGTTTAAAGTGGCCTGCGGCAGCCCCGTCGACTGTGTCAAAGTTTTAATATTGCACTGAATTTCTAGTGGAAAATGGTCTGACCATAATACATCATAATGCACCTTAACGTCAGTAACGGAACTACGGGCGGCCTCAGTGATCAAACAGTGGTCGAGCCAGCGCCGACTGCCATTAATTTCACTAATATATGTGTATGTGCTAGAACTATGACCTAACGTTTTTAGATCTATGCACTCCCAGTTTTGATCGTTACAAAAATTTATTAGTTCTTTACAAAAAA